TAAAAGGTCGCTAGCTTACCCCACCTCGGGGTAAGTTGGCTTAAACAATAAAAATTATTATTAATGTACTATTAAGTGCGAAATTTATAGAAAAATAAAATGTTTTAAAAGTTACGCTTTTGTCCAAAAACACTTAAATTCCAATATCTTTATGCGCATGCGGGAATCCTAACAATACTACAGTGAATGATGAAATGATTAATTAAAAAAGACCTATGTAATTTTTGGCAGTTTCTGATGAAAGGCTATGAAGATAAACCCAGTTCGTCGACTAGCCCCGATCTCCCCTACTATACACACAAACACACACACACACACACATATATATATTTTTGACAAGCTTTGAGTTTCATTAAAAAATCTTACAACGTCCAAAAGGTTGACTATCTTAATAAAATTTTTACAACCCCTTAATTCAGAGGTTATATTTTTTACAACCCCCAAAATGAGGGAGTTGTAAGTTTTGACATAGACATGAACATATTTAAGTTAGAGTTTGTACTTAATAGCAATTCTGTTTATATTTTTCTCTTGGAAATGACGTTGCTTGGTCTTCCTGCCAAATATGCAAAAAGTAAAGTCATTCAGGAACCACCCAATAGTGTTGCTTTTTAGGAAAAAATAACGAAAAAACTCATTTGTGGTAAAAATTAACAAGTAACAAATCAAACATGTCTCCGTTATATGTAATTAAAAATATTAGTATGTTATTATAGACGTAAACATTCAAAAAAAAAAACATTCCTTTGTTGATACGCTTTCTAAATTAAATTTTTTTGTCAACTATTAATGTATAACTCATGTGACAAAAATGTTAACTACTGCTACTGCGGTGATAGCATTATAAGAATTCATAAAAAAAGCGCTTATTGATTGTATTTATATAAAGTATTCTTTACAAATTATATTGGTTTTAGTTATTTTTACAATTTAAAAACATGTTTTTACAACTTGGCAGACTGTAAACAACTTCCAATTGTAAAGTATTTACTTTTTTACGTACCTACTTTTTTGCAAAAAAAAAAACAAAAAAACTTTTGTAGTTATTATTTTTAATTTTTTAAATTGCTATTTTTTCTTTTTCTTTATTTTAGGCATAACTTTCAAAACGATAAACAACCGCATACTTTTCCACTAAAAATAGAATTTAACCAAAGCAGATATCCTGACTTTTGTCAAGTCTCTGACATGTATATTTAAATTCTTTAAGCATTTTTCAAATTTTGCATACTTCCTATATTTATGTGTATCACTGAAAAGAAATTAAAATCTTTTAGTACTTTAAAATAAGAAAGATTTCAATGAGTCGGACAAATTAATGTCAAATTTTAATGTTTATTTATTATTAAATTATTTCTTCTTTAATAACTTAAATTTAACCGGAAATGCAATTATACGTGTTTCCTAGCAGCAACCACATCAGTAAAGTATACTTGTTACCAAGCAACAATCACATCAGTAAAGTTATTCTACTATATAAATGATCAAGCAGTTTTTGATTGATGCTTACCTGTCGGAAGAAACCAGTAAGGGTAATAAATTTTTCTTGGATTCACCACACATTAATTTTTTCTAATTATCTGATTAATCTCAATAATTTCTTTAATAATCTGAATAAAATCTAAAAAATAACCAGAAATGACGAAGTGCTTTCAAATTTGTGCTTTTCGTGATCGAGAAAAGTAACTTCAGGAATACCCGTTCCGTAGCACTGTAATACTCTGGGTATTCCTGTAAATTACTTACAAAAAGTAACTTACAGGAATACTCAGAATGACAGGTTTTTTGCGGTGGGTGAAAAGCTCACCCCAAAAAACCTGAACAATTTATTTTAGTTTCCAAAATTTTATAAAAGATATTACTAAAAAAAAAAAATAAGTTTCACTAGTCACCACTCTGGGAATACCATAGTTGTATAACAGAGTTTTACAAATTTTCCACAGTTTTGAAAATTTTATTTTCATCTATTTTTATTTGATTTTATTAACTTGAATTAAAAATTATAACCCTTTATTAAAATTAAGTTTTGAAATGCGCTCTCCATAAATAACCGGATTTTGATAAATTTTATAAATAAAATTTTGATTTTGGCGGTTTTGTAAATAAAAATTATTTTTTAAGATTTTCTCAAAATTGTTTATTAAGATTTATCGGCTTCGTAAAAAAATACTTTTTAAATTTTGAAACTGTCTGTCATTTTATATTCATTTTATACTTTCTCATGTGTTATAACCAGTGGGAAAAAAGACATCTTTAGACAAATAAAAGGCGTCTTTTTTATGACTTGTTATGTCTTTTTATAATCAGCCTAAATAAAAACGTGGAAAGACGTCTTTTAAAAAGACGTCTTCAAAAAAGAAGTCCAAAAGGCGTCAATCGGTTGTTAATAAGGAAATAATTATTTGCTTAAGAAAATTAAAAATAATTATTGCCAATAGAACCTAACAAAGATGGGTTTTAACCCACAGTATCGTAAATACGATATCTTTGTTACGTTCTGATTGGCCCGTTATTTGTTTACAAAATACTTTTATATAACTTTTTTTATGCGCAACGTATATATATATATATATATATATATATATATATATATATATATATATATATATATATATATATATATATATATATATATATATATATATATATATATATATATAAGTATGCAAAATTTGATATATATATATATATATATATATATATATATATATATATATATATATATATATATATATATATATATATATATATATATATATATATATATATATATAATAGAGTTTGATTATTTGAAAAAATACAACTTTTTGATGGTACTTGAAGTTTCATGCCCTCCGGCATCATCATCATCAGCCATATTTTATTCTTTTAAAACAAGAAAAACCGTTATAAAATACAAAATACAAAAATTAACAGAAAAAACAATAACAAAGCAATAGAATGAGTTCTGACGTCAAAACAAAATTTTTAATTAGAAAATTGTTTAATCGGCCGTGTCGAAGTGGGCGAGAAGAAACTTGTTTCGATGCCTGCACTTGGATATCATTTCACTTTTTTTGTTAATTAGATTTTTATTTTTGGAAAACAGAATTTGATATTTTTCATTTATACACAGTTTGCAAGACTTCATGGTTGGGTTGTAAGCATTGCACTGCTTAATTATTTTCCATTTAATAACTGGATTTAAATTTGCATCTTTCAGTTTCCAAAATTCTTTTGATAGTTCAGTGTCATTTTTGTATTTTAGAATGGTAAAAGATTTTATATGGTTGGCATATCTAATTTTGAATGGTGTTTCGCTTATACCGATGTATAGTTTGTTGATAGGAGTGGTAGTAGGATTAGTTGACTAATTGTATACCAAGCTAAAATAAGTTCAACTAATCCTACTACCACTCCTGTCAACAAACTATACATCGGTATAAGCGAAACACCATTCAAAATTAGATATGCCAACCATATAAAATCATTTAACATTCTAAAATACAAAAATGACACTGAACTATCAAAAGAATTTTGGAAACTGAAAGATGCAAATTTAAATCCAGTTATTAAATGGAAAATAATTAAGCAGTGCAATGCTTACAACCCAACCATGAAGTCTTGCAAACTGTGTATAAATGAAAAATATCAAATTCTGTTTTCCAAAAATAAAAATCTAATTAACAAAAAAAGTGAAATGATATCCAAGTGCAGGCATCGAAACAAGTTTCTTCTCGCCCACTTCGACACGGCCGATTAAACAATTTTCTAATTAAAAATTTTGTTTTGACGTCAGAACTCATTCTATTGCTTTGTTATTGTTTTTTCTGTATTTTGTATTTTATAACGGTTTTTCTTGTTTTAAAAGAATAAAATATGGCTGATGATTGCCGAAGGGTAGAAACATGATTCCATAGCGTAAAGTTAGGTGACGTAATGTTTTTTTTTTGGCGAATAATTAAGTTTTTAAGATGCAAAAAGCATTGTTAAATTATTTGTTTTATGCAATAGTTTTATGTGAATATTTAAATATTGGTCATGCGTGGTAAAATATTTTTATCAAATAGTAACGGTAATAATAATAAACACACGTCACCTAGTAACCGAATAAACAATACGTCACCTAACTTTACGCTATGGAATCATGTTTCTACCTTGCCGAAGGGCATGAAACTTCAAGTACCATCAAAAAGTTGTATTTTTTCAAATAATCAAACTCTATTATTATTATTGATCTATTTTGTAAACACTTACATTATATTGATCACTCTCAAACGAACAAGAGACTTTTGTATCTTAATTTGGTACAATAAAACAACAATATATATATATATATATATATATATATATATATATATATATATATATATATATATATATATATATATATATATATATATATATATATATGTATATATATATATATATATATATATATATATATATATATATATGTATATATATATATATATATATATATATATATATATATATATATATATATATATATATATATATATATATATATACTATATATATATATATATATATATATATATATATATATATATATATATATATATATATATATATATATATATACATATATATATATATATATATATATATATATATATATATATATATATATATATATATATATACATATATATATATATATATATATATATATATATATATATATATATATATATATATATATATATATATATATATATATATATATAGGCGGAGGGGTACTTGATTATGGGTTAAATGGGTTAGGGGAGGGTTGCATTTCTTAGTTAAGTTCAATTAAAAAACGGCTAAAATAAATCATCGTTTTAATCACACGTGAATCAAATACACCTCCGCCGAGCACTCTCGCGAAGATATATGCAAGCACTAATACGTATATAATACGTATACATATATAATATATATATATATATATATATATATATATATATATATATATATATATATATATATATATATATATATATATATATGGGTGAAGAGTACTCAAATTTTCAAGGGGGTCAAAAAGTTTAAAGTTTGATTTTTTTGAGCGATGTATGTCGACTTTCAAGTGTTTGATATTTTTTATATTGAAATAAAAGAAAACAACTTTTGATTTTGGTTACCTAACTTATTTATTAGAGAAACAGCGTTCAGCCGTTCCTGGCTCATGGTCGATCGAAGAAAAGTTACGCAGGCTACTAAAGGATCGTTCTGCTGTACAAGTTGACACTGGCTGGACCAGAATTATTTTAATAAAACGGACAATTTTCAAGGCAATGATTCTCAATCCAATTTGTTCTTTAGCGCGGATAAAATCTAGAGCTGATTGAAAATCTTCTAATTGAACTTTTTTTCTCTTAGCATTGTAAATGAAATGGTCCCGGTGAAGCTGCAGTCTTTGATAATTAGGAAAATTGTCCTTGTAGAAGGTTTTTATGTAGTCGATACTGCATTCAGTGTTATTTGATCCAATCACAAACTCTTAAATGACGAGTGGTTTCAGTTGATTCAAATCTATCGGTGAGGCCAACTAACTGCATCTAAACTGGTTTTTAATTGCATCTAAACTGGTAAAGTATAACTGCTTGAGGATCTCATTTGGATCCTTTGGCTGGTAATAAGTATCTCTGAAGCCGACTTCAAATCTTACAGGTTCTTTCCTCTTCCTGGGCAGAGCTGGTTCGTCTAAATCGTCGTTTTAGCAGATTCAATTGCCGCATCGAAAAGTGTTTTGAAACGTGACTCTGTACGGAAAGTTCTCAAAATTTGTTTCAGGTCTGAATGATGGATTCAGCCTTACTAAAGTTGATGGCTTCCCTAAAGTTGAATGCTTGTATCTTCTAGGATAGATACTATCCTAGAAGATTCAAGCATTCAACTTTAGGGAATTTATAGTAATAGATACTAGAGATGGCTTGCGCATTATTTATCTGGTTGGGCAAAAAGGTCTAAATGATGTTCTCTTTTGGTGTCCATCTTCGCTTTCATTTTGGTCTTTTAGGCTTTAAAACCAAGCAAGCCTCTTTGGTGAGCCTCTGGTAAAAGCGATGAACTTTTGAACAAGCGACATGATATTTTCTATATCAGGTATGTTTTTTATTTCATCTTGTACGACCAAATTTAGATTGTGAGCTCCGCAATGAACATAAAGGGCTCTGCTTTCTTGTTAAAGAACAAGTTTTTGCAAGCCAGCTATTTCAGAAGACATGGCAGCAGCTCCATCGAGCATTGTCGCCGACAGTTCTCATGCCTTAAGTTGAAACAAAGAAAGACTTTTTTCATAATCAAAAACAGATTCTTGCTTTTAGTTGTGGCTGTCTCCACAAAAACCCTCATTAATTTGGAACTCATCGTCTATAGTACGGAGTGATATCGATACCTATACAAATTAAAAAATTTTAAAGTTTGTTAAAGGAAAACACAAGTTTAATGAATTGTTTATTTAGCTAATAATACCTGCTTTTTTCCTGTGTTATCAGACGATTCATTCATCATGAATCCAAATAAATCTCTTTTTTTTATTGTGTTTGATAATTCATGTTTGATAACTAAAAAAATATGCAACAAAATTTCATTTGTGACATCTGAAGATATCCACTTGTACTTTTCTGGTCAATTCATCCATTTTTTCAAAACCGGTACATCCATAGACTTCAGTTCTAAGAGCTGGAATAGATTTGAAGCCTTGACAGCCGAGAAAAATCAGACTAGAAACTATATCGTCGAGAGCTTTTCTTGCGTCCTTCATATCTTGTAGATGTTGAGTAGAAAGTTTACTGGAAAATGTAGAATCTGAAGTGCTTGTCAAAATTGTTTTGTTAGTGGCTCGGTGAAAATTGCTAGCTTCATGACGACGAAACTTCTCATGAGCTTTCTTTTAATTATTAAATCCATTAATAACAAATACTAGAGTGGATTTTCGTTCTCTTGATTCAGTAGGCAGTTGAAACTTCATTTTAGTAGCTTTAACATACGAAAAACAAAAGGCTTATTCTTTAACAGTGTCATACTTAATCCACTTGTACTCGTCTTCCCAACTGGACAGATATCGACGAATATTTTTTTCCGCCTTTTTTCCATTTGAACCATCTTTTGAATTAGAATTGGATGACGATAAATAGGGAATTCTGGAAATAAAAATCTCTTTTTTTAGGTTGTTATTAAAAATCTTTTATAAATTTATAATGAGGTTAGCTTGTACCTTTTTTGTTGATCCCCATCATTATCATTATCAAGTTCTGAACTGTATGTTTGTAACTTTAACTTATAATCGGAAAGCGATGATACTTGTACGGCAGATGAAATGGGCACATTGGCATTATGAGAATCATTCTTCTTAGTTCGAATGATAAACTTATCCAAGCTGTAAGTTTTTCAAAAAACAAATTTTTTTTTAGTTTTTTAATTCTATTTAATTATTTCTTAAATAATGGAAATTAATTAATCATTTTTTAAGAGTAATCGACAATAATCTGTAATTTAAACAAATAATAAAGTAAATAAAAAATAATAGCAGAAATTAATTTTTAAAATGCGACTGTTATAATGAAAAATAAAAATAAAAACAAATATATAACCATCGCTCAAAATGTTTGCATAACTAAAAGTAAAAAGCAGCAAATTAAAAATTTACTCAGCTAAAGTTACTTACAACAGCTGTTTAAAAAAAAAACGCACTTTTTAATAGATGTTATCAATTAACTTTTATAGCACTCTGTATAAAAATGAAACTTAGTAAAACTTTTTAAAAACTTAGTTAAATTTTCTTTTAATGTTCTAAAAAGAAAGACCAAAGTTCAAAACGTCGGCGGCGGACTTGTTTGAAGTCTTCATAACTTCATAAAGTTATCGTCCAGTGAACTCGCCGTTACTTTGAAATTTGCATTAAAAAAGTTTTATTACCGTTAAGTCAAGTCCACCAAGATACCTTGTCTAACTGGCTTTCTGTAAAGATTTTTTAATTGATATTTTCTTCTTATTTGAATCTTAAAATTTAATTTCATTAATATATAATCTACACAAAAACAAAAACGTTGCTAAAAAGAATACTTTTAAAGCACTAGTATAATGGCCTTTTTACAGAAAAAACTTAATTTCGTCTTATGATTTCTTCCTCTGTTTAAAAATAAAAAATAAAAATAATAATTGTTATAAGATTAGATAAAATTTCAAGGAGGGCAAACGAATTTTCAAGGGAGCCAAGGTTAACTCAAGGTGGCAGCCTGCCCCCGTTACACCCCATATTCTACGCCTATGTGTATATCTATATCTATCTATCTATCTATATATATATATATATATATATATATATATATATATATATATATATATATATATATATATATATATATATATATATATATATATATATATATATATATATATATATATATATATATATATATATATATATATATATATATATATATATATATATATATTTATGTTGATTTTAGGTGCCCCAAGAAGTCCTTACGGTCTTATCACAGATCACCGCGGAAGAGCATTTAATAGGAAGTTCACGCCTCCTTCCCAACCGATGTCGCAAAACTTGCCCAGAGGTGGGGTTTGAACCACGGGATCTTACTTTTTTGAGGCAAGTGCGCTACCACTGCGCCACGGCTGCTAAATATATATATATATATATATATATATATATATATTATATATATATATATATATATATATATATATATATATATATATATATATATATATATATATATACATATATATATATATATAAACTAATTTAAAACATCAGATAATACGAATTCTCTCAATACTAAATAATTTATTTGAAATTTTCGCCGGATTATAGGCACCGGCATCATCAGCATATAATATAATTACAAAAGTTGTGACCGTTAAATAACAACAAAAAATTTTTAAATTTTGACGTCACCTTTATAATGGCTTCTTTTACCTAAGTATGAAAAAAATGAAGTCCAAAAATTTGTTTTTAAATATTGTCCATTGTCCAAATTCATACCACCGTACGTTGGAGAACATTGATGTTTTTGTATCTCTAAGGCCTCACGGACTTTTCTTTCAAATTTTTTATCCTCAACTTTAAGTGTTATTACTTTATTCCATTCAATGTCCTCATTACAGTTTACTTTATGCAAAGCTAATGCAGACTGGTTTAACTTGCCTTCAGTCAAAAATTTTTGGTGTTGTTGAACCCTTGTTCGTATTTGAAGTTTTGTTTCACCAACGTATACTTTGGAGCATTTGCACTTAATTAAATAGGTTCCTGGGGTGCTGTTGCTTGGTAATTTAGTCTTATTTTTAGACGTTAATAGCGTTTTAAGGTTAGCATTTGATTTAAAAACAGTTCTGTAACCAGCTTTTCTGAATATTCTTCTAAGTCTGGGAGATATTATTGGTATCCATGGTAAAGAGATTGTAGGAAGGTTATTAGAGTTTGATGGAATTTCATTTTTGTTCGCAAAACGTTTTTTTCGAACCTGATTAGAAATATCTTTAAGCATTTTTTCATCGTATCCATTTTCAGTAAACACTTGAATTAAAAAATTTATCTCATCTTTTAAATGGTTTTCGCTGCATATTGAGTATGCTCTGTGTATGTATCCTTTGAATATTGCTTTTAAAATTTTAGGATCATGATTAGAATGAGGTTTGATTTGGATATTGGTTATTGCATCCTTCCTGTAAACCTTGAACTCATATTTTCCTTGGGTTTTATTAATAATAGTTATATCCAAAAAATTAAGTATCTTATTTTTGTTTTCAACCTCAATAGTATATTTTAAAGAAGGATGTTGTCTGTTAAGAATTGTTTGGAACTGTTCCGCTTGATTTAAAATAGAAAACCTTGCATGGCTATCGTCTACATATCTATGAAAGGATTTAATATCAATTAAAGGAATAATTGTCGTTGCCATTTTTATTGCTTTTTCCTCATGGTATTGTTAAAAAGATTCAGCCAAAACAACCATAAAAGACAAACAAATTGGGCCTGAATTCTCCAACTCATGAATCTCACCATTCCACAAGAAATAACAACGAAACAAACAAAGCTCAATTAGTTGTTTTGTTTCAGTTAAAGTAAGTTTAGTTGAGTTTTTGTAAGAAACGCTTTTATTTAATTGATCCAAAAGTATTAAAGTTGCTTCTTTTAATGGTATTGATGATTTTCACATTTAAACATGAAATATATATACATATATCAAAGAAACATCGTAAAAAAAAAGAAGGAAAAAAGATCATTTTGAAGTTATTGGATTAAAATTATTGGACTTACTTTATTTGTAGTAATTATTTGTAGTAATTCTAATTAAATAAATAAAATAAATGGTGGACTTTAAAACGAAGCAACAGTGACTCGGTAAATAACGAAAATTAAGAAACTGTTAGCAAGATATTAATGTTTAATACGCGTTTAATTAGAGTAAATCTAAATGCTTTATATACATAGATTAGATCTAAACGTAAATTAGACAAAATCTTAACACTTTATATACGCATAATAACCCTATAGTTGACGTCTAAAATACGTTTGAATTTCTACGTTTTCAAACGTCCATCAGAAGTCTAGATACAAACGTATTTTCGACGTATATTTTTAAACGTTTATCAAACGTATAAAAGCGTTTAGATAAGTGATTCCCAGCCTGGTCTACAGCGCTCACTAGGTGGGTGTTATGGCTGACTTAGTGGGCAGCAGAAATAGTTTTAAAAAGGTGGGCACTGGATCTACTGTCTGTGATAATCAGGTACTGTTGCTAACTTATGTCTGGTTTGTAAAGGATAAAAAAATTGAACTGTTGTTTTTTCATTGACTGGAAGCATTTTGCCAAGCAGAAAATATCATTTTAAATTTCAAAGACTATTTGAATTTAAAAGGCATACTGACTGAAAATATAACTTTTTGTGCTACAGATGGAGCTCCAAGTATGATAGATTGTCACAAAGGACTAGTAAGTTATATTAAAGATGAAATATCAAACCTATTTGCAATACACTGTGTTATTCATAGGCAACATCTTTGTGCCAAAAATCTTTGTGGGAGATTATCAGACAAGCTTAGTTTGGTTATACGTGTGCTAAACACAAAAAAAGGTAATGCACTGAAGGCTGTTCAAATAATTATGTAATGAAAACGATGAACAATTTGAAAAACTACTTATACTCACAAAGCATAGTAGGAACATTCTATTGAAATAGGTGGCCAAAAATATAATCACTGTATTTATGTGGATATTAAGCCATAATTGAGTAAAGTAGAGATTAAAGATAATATTTTTTATTTTTGTGTTCAACTAACTCTTAGGCGCAGTAAGGAAGGTGGGGATGCATATTAGCGCTGGGGACACTAGTTCAATTTTTTATATGTGATACTTACCGGCATTGTTTAAATAATGGACAATTTTTGAATGCTTCAAACTTTTTATGTTATGCTAAAGTCAAAACATAATGTTTTGCAAAAAAATTGCGGTGATTGAAGCCCGGGATCGAAAATACCCTAAAAGTTAGCAAAAGTATGAGGGCAATAAGTCCAAAAAAGATCTTTGCTGTTATCTTATACTAAATTTAAATTCATTGACAGTTTTTAACTTTAATCAAATTATCTTTTATTCTCTGAAAGTTATGATCTTTGTAAAGTTTACAACACGCTCAATTTTGGGGAGGGGGAAAACTTTATCATTGTTACTACAGTTACATCTTTCGAACTTTAACAGTTCATTAAATTAGAATTAAAGTCTGTCGTTTTAATTTTCAACTAATAATAAATAATAATAATAAACTAATAATAAAAACATATTAATAAATAAACTTTTGAAATACTCTTGTTTCCAAACTCAAATGATTTGAACCAAATCACTGCAATTTTTTGAATATTTTTTTATACATTTAATAAATTTATATAGTAGACAAACAAATATAAAATTATACATTATACAGATTATGCAGTTTAGAACTTAATTTTTTTACATCTATATCTAATTCTAGATTTTCGTCAACGTTGTCAACATTTAAATATAATTCATCTAAGTTATTAATTTTATCTGATTCCATTTCAGATGAATTTCCTTTATCACCGCAATAAACTGCTAACAAACTTTTAACTTTTTCCTGTAGACACTATATTTTCTTATTTTTCAATGTTTTATTTAATGAGATTGAACTAATTAGGGGATCAGAAGTATGTATACCTTAAATGAAAATGTCAAATAAGTTTGTTTCTCTACTTTTTTTCCCTTGCATGATGTTCACGATTAAATTTATAAATTCGAGATTCAGCCGCTCCCATTAAACCAAGTGGAACAAGTGAATTGATAATAATTTCCCCAGCATGTGCTTATAGTTTGTGAACGGAAGCTGGGACCTTGAACCAATCATGTCTCTTACAACTTCTTATATGTATCATTGTACAATGATACTGCGCAGTATTTATCAATTTTTCCAATCAATTGTGTCTTTGCAATTGATTGCAATTATAATGTTATGTAATTTGATCTCTTCATTAATTTCTATAATTTTGCTGTGTAATAGAGGTTCAGAAAAAGCTCGTTGGCATAAATTATGGTAATAGAGGGTCAGAAAAATCTCGTTGGCATAAATTGATTAAAAAAGAATGGTAATAAAAAACTTTTTAACAACATTTAGAAATGTTTTTTTCTTAAATTAATTATGTATTTTAACACCATAAACACATGAAATTAAAATAAAAGTTTTTTTCTTTCAAGAAAAACACAATAACAAATTTACTTTAGTCTTTCATTCCTTAAAATATTTTTATTTTTACTTTAAGTAACGAATGAAAATAAAAGTTGTTTTTATTCGAAGAAGTTTTTTATTTGTTTAAAAAAGCATCAATATTTCAAAATTATTTAGCGCTCAAGATCGCGGATTATCCACACTTCTCGTAGCCACACTCCACGTAGCCACACTTCTCAGGGTAGTTAGTAGACACTAAAGATTGAAAGATATCAAAATATGGAAAAGGTGGAAGAACTTTTTAATTCTTCATCACAGTTAAATTTAGTAATTTTGTGATCAATATTTTACTTTCAATGCTAAAAATTGTTGTACCAACTTTTTCAGGAAATTTTTTATTTTTATTTTTAACAGTGTATATTATAATCTTTCCAATCATGCATATATTGTCAATTTTTCAATGATCTATATATATAAAAATAATAATAGATATATAAAAAAAAATATATATATAAATATATATAAAAAATAATATATATAAAAATAATAATTACTAAAATCTTGAGAATTTTCATCAAAAAATTTTCAAAAAACTTTAAAAAGTCACTACAATTGAGCCTGTCACATTTAGAGTTTCATAAATTGGAAAATTGTTAGTAACAAAACCCACTTTCAAATATGTTTGAAGTAAGTCACTTTTTTGATTTTTGCTATGGGATTTCCCACTGTGCAGAGGTTCGATGGCTGCCAAAAGATTTTTTAGACTTTAGACTAGAGGGTGTTGTGTTAATAAAGAGGCATCATCCATAAAAAAAAATCCTGCATCAACCCCTGCATTAGTATCATTTTATACTTTCTGATGACACTATAGTGTCATTTTATACTTTCTGTTGACACATTACCCAGTGGGAAAAAAGACGTCTTTAAAAGTCTTATTAACGATGTCTTTAAGACGTCTTTTTTAATCGATTATGCAAATCTAAAAGACATCTTTTTTCGACATCGAAAAGAAGTCTTTTTTTATCTTATTCTTGTCATGAAAAGACAATAAAAATGCGTCTGTAAGACGCCTTTTTTTAGTCGAATATGCAAATTTAAACGACATCTTTTTTCGACATCGAAAATGCTTCTTTTTAGTCTTTGATCTTGTCATAAAAAGACATAAAAAATTTGTCTTTAACGTCTTTGTGTACCAATTATGCACTTCTAAAAAAGCGTTTTTTTTCGGGGTCGGAACGACTTTTTTACCATACTTATTAGTATACTATAGTATGCTATACACTATAGTATTCCTACTTTTCTTATATGAAAAACTATTTTTTTCTAATGAAAATGATAAAAACTCTTCATACAAAATATGACAAAAAGCTTTTTTTGATGCCGAGAAAAAAACCTCTTTTAGATGTCAATATAAAAGTGGAAGCAATTTTTTACATCTTTTATATGTTTAAATATAGGAGAATAATTTATAAATAAAACAATAGTATTGTTCAACAGAATATTTTTTCATCTTTCTCTTTCTTTTCTGTTTCTTGAGCGAGCTCTGTTTCTTGGCGTTGTTGAATAAAATTAACAATTTCACGTCGAGAAATCCTTTCATACGAGCAGGTTACGACTTCTAGCTGGTTACCACTTCTAATAAACGAGTGAACATAAAAAACAGTCTATTGCTTAAATGTAATACAAAAAAAGCAAACGAAACTTGATTAGCTGAGTGGAGCACATTATACTTACCGACTATTAATTCAAAAAGGGCTGATCCTTTTAATCCACTCATGTTTCCAGCGCGGTCCCTTCTTTTTGAACCCACTAGGTTAGATTGGGACAGGAGTCAAACAGTAAACAGTCTAAAAACATATAAAAATGAGTGTGTTATATAAATTTACAACCATCAAAATAACTGTACAACAATGTATTTTATTATGTAGTGCTTAAATCAAGCTAAACATTTGCACCTCTTAGATTTTCTATGAAAGCCAAGTTATTGAAAACAGATATTGATATTTTTCTATCTTCTATAACATAACTTTTTAATTGAATTGCGCTGAAAGTAAGTGTTGTAGACTATCAAAACAAAAAGATAATTCAGCTAATACACCTTGAGAGTTGTTAATCATTTAAACTGGAAAAAAGTATTAGTCAAAGCTCTATTTTAGCCTGAAACATAAGGATGCTTAACTTAACAACATAAAAACTGGCGATATCATTAGCAACACAGATGAAATACACATAAACAAAATGAAGACTAAAAAGCTGCAATGATGTTTAGATATAAGAAAGTGTACCTTTCCAGTATCATTTTCACTTGGTTTTTGTATCCAAACCAAAAATTTTGCGAATAGTTCTAAAGATAAATCTGTTGCCATTATGTGTATTTTTATAATTGCTTTGTTAATGACAGACAACAGTTAACAAGGAAATAACATATTTAACATAAAAGTTAAAGAGCCAATCTTTTGCATAAACAATTTCATCATTCAACTAAATAAAAACAACAAAATTATTCAGATCATTTAAAAATATATATATAAAAAAATTGCAAGCCTACAGAATACTTCTTTTTTTCTTTCGTTCGTTTCACTGGCACTTGAACAAGTAAATATAGAGAGAAATTGTTTACAGGTTTTATTTTTCGTCTGAAAATAAATATTTCAATTTAATATGTAATAAACAACGTTCTTCAAGAACAATACATTAAAAAATTAGTCTAAAAATAAACAGTAAAACTTTTTAAAAAACTTGCCTACGACTAACTTAATTGAGACTAGATCATATCGATACCACCTTACTGGCACCACGCTATCCACTTTTTCAATATATATATATATATATATATTATATATATATATATATATATATATATATATATATATATATATATATATATATATATATATATATATATATATATATATATATATATATTGATATATACATATATAATATATATATATATATATATATATATATATATATATATATATATATATTTATATATATATGTATATATATATATATATATATATATATATATATATACATAAATTTATATATTGTATATATATATATATATATGTATATATATATATATATATATATATTTATATATATTATATATATATATTTATATATATTTATATATATATGTGTACATATATATATATATATATATATATATATATATATATATATATATATATATATATATATATATATATATATATATATATATATATATATATATATATATAAATATATATATAATATAAATATATATATATATAAATATATATATATATAAATATATATATACATAAATATATATAAATATATATATATATATATATAAATATATATATATATATATATATATATATATATATATATATATATATATATATATATATATATTATATATATATATGTAAATATATATATATATATATACATATATATATATAGTATATATATATATATATATATATATATATATATATATATATATATATATATATATATATATTATATATATATATATGATATAAATATGTATATATATATATATATATATATATATATATATATATATATATATATAATATATATATATATATATATATATATATATATACCTCTTAATACAGCTCTGTTTTAATTTAAATCATTTTTAATTTACTTTAATTCATCGAGCACTCTCGCGAAGATCTATGCAAGCACTAATACGTATATATATAGTATATAGTATATATATATTATATATATATATATATATATATTATATACTATTATATATATATATATATATAGTATATTATATATACCTCTTAATACAGCTCTGTTTTAATTTAAATCATTTTAATTTACTTTAATTCATCGAGCACTCTCGCGAAGATATATGCAAGCACTAATACGTATATATATATATATATATATATATATATATTATAATATATATATATATATATTTATATATATATTTATATATATATATCTATATATATATATTAATATATAGTATATATATATATATATCCTTATAGTGTAGTCGAAAGAGTCTTTTAATGTAAAAACAAAGTCTCTTTCGACCAGCGTTGCCAGATTTTTTTTGCGCTAAAATGCCAAATGCTTGTCTAAAAAATGCCAAATAATGCCAAATTTTTATTAATAATGCCAAAAAAAATGCCAACTTTTAAAATAGCAGAAAAACTTTATAAAAAAACATTGAACCTTATTTATTAACTATATATTCAATAAAACTATTTTAAAAGTCATATATTAATCAGTTTTAACATATTTTTTATATATTTTTCAATAAAAAAACGACGTTTAACATAGATTATTTATGTATTTATTAAATAGATAAGTATGTTCACTCAACTTTTAAATAAATATAAATCTAAAGTTAAAAAATATGAGTTAAAGAAAATTTCAAATTCTGTTAAAAGAATTATAAAAAATGTCTCAATATCAAACTTCCTTTATTTTAAATCATCAATTAGAGTGAGATCATCTTCGACTAATTCATCATCGTCAGAATACATGTCCGTTCCCAATTTAGTTAACATTTTGTCACTGATTTTAAAGTCTTTACAACATTTGTTGCGGCTAGCAAGGTAGGCTTTTACTCGCACTACACTGCTGAGCAATTTGTCTGACATTCTGTTTCTTGGTTTGTTTTTAACAAAGGTGACCTGAGAAAAAATACGTTCCACAAAAGCGTTTGATATAGGGAGAACAAGACAAGTTAGGCAATAGTCTGCTAGTTCCTTAAATGCTGCATCTCCTGATGCATTTTTTTAGTGGCGAACTGCAGTCCAGAACTCAGTTGTATCTTTTGGTATACAAGAATTTTCAAACAGCTCCGTAGAAGACCAGTCAACCAAACTTACTTTTCTCTACTGATCTTCAATGTTTTGCGCTTTATCCTTCATAATATGCCTTAAAGGGAGATGAGTGAATGGCATTTTAGAACTTTGATGCAGAATCTTTGATGGTGAGAGATAAGATAGACCTTGAAAAACTTCTTTGTTTTCAGGTAGACGTTGATCAAGCTCTTTCAAAAGACGCAAAAGAAATTGAAGACAACGTGTTAGAACACTTTCAATGTTTTTTCTGGCTATTTCTTTTTGGGTTTGAGGATAAGTATCAATATATTTTTGGCAATCTGATAAAAACTTTGCCCCAAAGTCAACACGTTTTAGAGGCAGTTGAACTCCTTGGTTGTCAAGAACACGCTGTTGTAGACTTTTGCAGTGTAGGTTTAGCTCTGAAACTAGCTTCTCAGGATCCACATTAGTGCTTTGAAAAAGAGCATTCAAACGCTCAAATTCTTGAACAATTGGTGTCAAAAAGACGACGTAAAGATAGAGAGTTTCATCTTTGAACATGTTGTTAATTGTTGTAACTCTATACCTAATGCAAGCAGGAGCTTGAGCTTCAGCACATAAAAAATAGGCTTTTAATTCGTACCAATTCACCATCAAATTGTAAAGACATTTCCCTCTGACGAGCCATCGAGTAGCTGAATACTTTTGAAATGGTGATGGAGTTCCCATCCTTTCATTGCTTGGATCCATTGTCTGAAAAAGTACTTTAAACTCTTCTCGTCGAATGGAACTTTTTGAAAAAAATGAAAGAATTTCACTGAGCAGAAAGCCAACACTTGATGGCATTAATTCAAAGGAATGTTGAACAATGAGGTTCAAGGAGTGGCATGTACAGCGCATTAAAATACAATTAGGAGAGACTGCCCGAACACGAGACCAAACCGAATTGTGAAATCCAATGACATTTGAAGCTCCGTCTGAGGTATACCCAATGCAGTTTTTTAAAGACAATCCAACAGACGTCAACTTTGTTTCCAAAACAGCAAAAAGATCTGCACCAGTGGTTGATATCACAGCAGCTAAACCAAGAAAGTCATCGATAACTGATTTCTGTTCATCTGAATAGTATCGAGCACAAATGCAAAGATGTTTTGTCAAAGAAACATCAGTTGATTCATCAATCAGGATGGAAAAAGGTTTATCTGCCATTGATTCAGAAATTTCTGATTCGATTGATGAAGAAATTACATTTTTAATAATTTGGGTACATTAGGTTCGATGCAGACGAAGGTTTTCAAGGGGACTATTTTTTCCATAAAGAGAAATGATTTCTCCAAGGTGATTTATCGTTGAAATGGGTGCATGACAACACACGCAAAGAGCAAGATGAATATCTGCTTCACAGTCTGCTTTCTTTGATACTAAAGGAAACGTAATCTGGCTTTTTGTGTTAAGATGCTTTTCTCTTAAAGCATGTCTAAAAGTACCACTGTGCTGTTCTACAGACGATTTCCGTGGTTGTATAGTCACACGACAAAGGGTACAGAATGCTGATTCAGTACCATCAGAGCTTTTTTTAAGCCAAGGATAATCCGCTTCCCATTTTTCAAGGTACTTTCTTGAATTTACCCTCGACATTGTGCTTAATGTTCTAATACAAATTAAATACAAACCAACTGAAAAAAAAATCAATTCAACAGTTTTTTTAAAAATGCCAAAAAAATGCCAAAATGCCAAAATAATGCCAAAATGCCAAAAAATGCCAACATGTTAAAATAATGCCAATTTTACTAAATTTGGCATTAAAAAATGCCAGTTGGCAACACTGCTTTCGACTACAATTTTAATTACCTCGTCTCTTAAGCTGTTTTTGATCGTCGTCGAAATGTCAAAGCAATTAAATTAATGCGGAAGTACATTAAATTTTGTTTTTTAAAAAAATTTTAAATAACCGCAATTATAACGACTAGAAAGTTTTTTTTAATTAGTGGTGTTTTTGTTTTATTAAAAAAGATTTTTAAAACATGCGTAAATGTTGCTACATCAACTATCTTATAGCCTGACTCGCAACGGAGTGCTGCTACATCGACTGACAAATAGCCTGACTCGCAACGGAGTGCTGCTACATCGACTGACAAATAGCCTGACTCGCAAGGGAATGCTGCTACAACGACTGACAAATAGCCTGACTCGCAAGGGAGTGCTGCTACATCGACTGAGGGTTTGGTTTGGCCA